ATAGCCTAGTTGACAGACGTGTCCCAGAAGAATTGTGTAGATGTAAAAAATTGATTTGTCTGGCTCTCTTTTAAATACCCTAGGTTATCTACAATTTAAAGGGATAGTAGGAGGAATTTTTGCTACAACACACTCTGTAGTGAAGCAAATACCATAACCCAATCCTTCTGTTCTGTAAGTCTTCACTTTCATATACTGGATTCACACATTGGGCTACATACACAATATACATGAGACAGAATATGAAAAAATTCTATGCTAGGTGTTTTAATATTAGCTTTAAATTTTGACTATAATATACATAATATACATTTTAATTAAAATAGCTTTGATAAATGTTTAACATTTTAAGAAAATGTATGATTTAACTTCTTGATTAGAATCAATTGTTTTAAGTTTCTTTCTAATTTAAATGGATTCTAAGACCAAAGAAAGTCTGAAATTAAAATCTAAACATTCTATTGGAATATAGAATCTTCAGGAAATCTGGCTTCCAAATTCTGAAGAGTAAAACATTTATTCTATTTCTAAAGGGAAAAAGAAGAAATGTACTTGCAGAGTAAAGTCATTCCAGTGATTGATTCACACAATACTTATAATGCCAACTGAAGATATAAAAATAAATTAGGGAACAGAGTTTATGACATTATAGATGATATTTGCTAAACCAAAAAGCAGCTGTGGGACAAATAAATTATTAGTTTCATCTTGAATGAGAACTTCAAAACACATGGCAGCTTTTCACCACATATTTGTATAAGGAAAGTAGGGAAGGGAAGTTACAATATCTGAAGTAAGCTCTGTACCAAGCATTCTAATTAACCAAGTCCCAATTCCAATAATTAAAATGGAAACTATGTTTAAAAGTTACATAAAAACCTTTGAATCCACAGGCATTAGCTTGCTTGAGACTGATTTTTTTAAAGATGCTTAATGAGCTCTCCTCAAGCATTTACAACAATCTTGCTTTGCACTAAAAAAGAAAAAAAAATCAAACACAGCAAATTGTGATTTATTCCTGGCATCTGAAACATCATTGAGAGTACACTGAAGATTGTATACAAATTGTGTAGTCACATTGAGAATGAAGTATTTTATCCCTTAGAATAGTAGTAACAACTAAAGTTTATTTTATAGACAGAGGATTGAAGTTGTTGGCACAATATTATTTTTTAAAGTGTGCATACCTTCCATTTTAGAGCACAGAAACTGACATATAATAAAACTTCCTCATTGTTAGCATAAGTAAGATGAAGGGTTAAAAGCTTCTGAGATGCAAGAACATACTGTCTTCAGATTCTTTAAATTCAGAGTATTTACTGAGGACTTAGAATGTGAATTGAGCACACAATTTTGGTTAAAGCTCTTTCTGGGTGATAGTCCATAAGCTGTTATTACAGATCACTGCAATAAGCCTTTCTTTAACAAATCATATCCAGGTGAAATCCCACTGAAAATAAAACCTAGAGTGTAACTGCCTTGAAATTTTATCAACATCAATGTCCTTGATCACTTTTTTTCTTATAAAATTACTAGAATTATAAGGCAGGACATGGTTGGCAGAGACTATAAAAAGGAACAGTACAAATACCTGAAATAGAACTGTTTTCTGTCCTGGCTGGTATGGCTCAGTGGATTGAGTGCCAGCCTGAGAACCAAAGGGTCACTTGTTCAATTCTAGTCAGGGCACATGCCTGGGTTGCAGGGCAGGCCCCTAGTTGGCAGTGTGTGAGAGGCAAAACCACACATTGATGTTTCTTTCCCATTCTCTTTCCCTCCCTTCCCCTCTCTCTAAAAATCAATTAATCAATCTATCTTTTTAAAAAAGAACTGTTTTCTGCTGTATTTTAAAGGTTAATCATTTGATAAGAGACCTTAATTAACTACTTCATTATACATTTTATTACAGAGTAATTTTCATGATTTTAAGAATGTATTATAAAATATAAAGAAGAAATTTAACCATACATATAGATAAGAGGCTCTTCTGTAGATGGTCCCTAAGATTTGTTGGCAGAAGTGCAATCTAGAATGGCATTCAATTGTCATTGGCTTTAGATTGGCAAACTGGAATATTCAAGAAATGATGAACTGTTCTCTACATGGACTGCACTGGTTTGATTTTCAACTTCCCTGGAAACTTCCTATGCTGATTAGTAGTGAAACGATCTGCTGGGTCTTCAAAGATACAAATGTAACTGGTGGGAGATTTTAAAAAATTAATTACATTTGGAACATTCTCAATAGGTACTCTCTGGTGCTACAAGCATATGGTCATTTTTACACAGTGCTATTCCTATAAAATCTACTTTCTTTCCATCATCAGAATCTGCTTCCTTAAGAATAGCTGGACAAAATCAGGAGGTTATTACAATTTAATATCTTTTTCTACTTGAAGGAATAGGTTTGCTAAAATAAAAAAATCTGATTATTTTATTTCAGAAATTTGTGCCACAAGCAACTGAATATTCATCAGCATCTCAAATACTACATTTAACTATCTACTTACTTTAAAAATAGTAAGACTTTAAAATACTGTTTTCCAGTATTCTTTGGCCTTTTACCTAAGGAAACCAGGATGGTAGCAAAATCATAAAGGAACACTTTGGGTATTAGTCAAAGGGCAGAACAGCTGTTTTTTAAAATGCAATGAGACACATTCATTCAAGTACTGCTTACCAATCCCTACATTTGTCCCTTTTCAGCTCTCTTCCATTCCAGCAGCAACCATTTAAACCCTTTGTTTTAGAATCCCCTTCTCATTTCCCTCATTCTCAGCGGGCCACTCTGTCCTCTAACTGAGGCCATCAGGTAAAATCCTTCAACTTCCAGCTCCACTCCATGAAGTATAAATGCATGGGTTTGTCCTCCTCCTTTCCTTGCAGGGTAAGATCTCACTTTCTTATTCAAGACCAGACCTGTCAAAAGCTGCCCAGCAGCATTCAATGTCCCTTTCAGACTCCTGTGGGCCCACAGATAGTTGGCATAGCAAGTCTCACATCTCATGATGCAGACCCCCTCCCTTTTTCTACTCATCTTTGTATCTTTGGTGCCTCTCACTAAGCCTGGCAAGCAGAGGTACTCAAGAAGAATGTATTGAACTGAAACTACTTACTTTTAAGCATGAGCTATTTTCAATAGCTTGAACCAGCACTGAGCTTGTCCCAGATTGCAAAACAGCATATCATTTCTGCTCCACTTTATTTTTCAACCCAAAGAAGAGGAATGAGAAATTTCCAGTGACTAGAGTTGCCAGGAAAAATACAGGCTACCTAGTAAAAGATGAATTTTAGATAAACAACAAATAATTTTTTAGTATACCCAAGTATCAAATAATGCATGGGTCATACTTATACAAAAAACAATTATTTACTGTTTTCCTGAAATTAAAATTTAACTGGCAACCTGTATTTTTATTTGCTAAATTTCATGGCTCTGCTAGTAACTACAGATTCTCAGAGAACTCAAGGAATACTGCTTTAGAGCTCCTGGAGGTTTGTATCCAAGCTCTGCAAACTTCTTGATTGGCCCAATTTTATTTCTGTGCATGCAGCTCGGTATCTCTCTGAGCATAACAGTCACATCTTTTAGGAAAAGCTGTTTATTATGTAAAATTTTCATTTATTTTTCTATTTCATAAAATTCCCTTCTAACACCATCTATCAATAATTTTAGCAAAAAGAATATCTCTTGGAAAGCTGATGCTCATAGTTATTACTATGCACGTGTTAAGTCCTAGCTACATGTACTAATAATTAACCATTTTTGAAAATGTCATATTTTTAATTAAACCAGCAAAACACAATAAGGGAAATAAATAAGTCTTTCATTTTAGAATTTCCTCTCTTCATTAATCAAGCACAGGAAAATATGCAGTCCACACTAACAGGCTGGGGAGAAGCAGCCTGACAGTTGGAGGTGGAGCCTGTGACGTAACCGCAGCGGTTCTTTGTTGGAAAAAGCCTTTCCCAAATGCGAAACATCTGTAAATCCAAGCGCTTCAGCTTTACCATGTATGGGCTGGCAATAGGAGAGTTGCCTCCTTTAGAATCTTGTAAATTTTGGAGGCTTGTAATCTTGGTCAACAGAGGAACTCCTCACAGGTTGTTTGGAGACATACCTGTCTCACTAACCGAGAAAAAAAAGCAGGTTTCTTCTGCAAAGGAGTACCATTTTAGAGTAAAAACTGCTGTGTGCCAGTTTACTTGGTTAATGGTGATGGCACAATGGAAGTTAAAACCCAGAGTGGAAGGAAACAGACCCTACAACTTGTTCCAATCCTGAAAGTTCCCTACATTAAGGCGTTTTTCTTTCAATGTTCTTTACCGTGATTACAGAAAGGACATTCATTTCTTGTTCCCATGAGAGAATGAAGGAGAAATAAAAACCTCCCAATGTAGAGGGATACAAGAGAGTGTGCCTTTCTCAAAATTTTAACTAGACTGGTCTCAGAGACGAATTCTAGGAAGAGAATGACTAAGTCCGCTGTAACTATTAGATACCCTAAGACGATAACGAATTAAGGCGTTTATGCCAACACCAGCACACTACCTGCCTGCCACCATATTGGCAGCTCGAGTTAAGGACGGCTGTCAAGCTACTGCACACACACACACACACACACACACACACACACACACACACACACACACTGCAGAGATGCAGAACAATGTCTGGATGCCTGCCCAAAACTGGTCTCTCCAATTGACACTCAATTTGTTTCCAGTCTAAAACTCACTGGGGGCTAGTAGCGTCTTTGCCTAGTTGCTGTGGGAAAGGGATGAAATCTGGAAAGCTCAAAGCACGGGGCTTCCACCTGCCTGTATAGAAGAGAAAGGCTGACAAACATATTCCTTAAACTTGAGCTGAAGCTAGCGAGCCTGCGAGATCTTTCCTAAAATATTCATAAGGTGTGTTACCGGACTCGCCACTTAGAGGTAGAGCAGAAACCCTGCGAGGAGCAGCAGCCCGCACCCACACCTGGAAAAAAAGGCACTCACAACAGCACACCCCACCACCGCACTCCACTGTTCCGCTGTCAGCAGTGCTTGGGCAGTCGACCCCCGTTCGCCCGCTCAATTCTACCTGCCCAGAAAAGAGAGATGCTAGAATGAGCGTGGAGTTTCCCAGCACTTGGAGCAGGCACCGCGCGCTGGCCCCTCGGACAGCTCCTCCCGGCTCGCAGCGCGGACGACCTGCAGCCCCCCGCTCGCCAACCAGTGGCCGCACCGCCCCCAGGGACGCGGGGCAGGGGCACCCCAGGCCCTGGCAGGGCTGCCCTGCCTCCCCGCCTCCCATTCTGGCCTGCAGCAAGAATGCCTTCAGAGCCCTCAGCGTTCAGTTGCTAGGTGACCCGCTCCGGGGGCCCAGATGCAAACATCCTCTCGCGCCAACCTGCAGCTCCGCGGGTGTTAATTTTGGGTACAGGACGAAGGTATTACCGTCCTAGGGCCCCAAAGCCCCTGCTCTACGAGAGGGTGCACTTTCATTCAGGTCTCTCTTTCTACAGCCTCACATTTCTGCTTCGCCCCAGACGCAGCGCAGCTCGAACGGAGGCGCCTCGCGCTGTCGCCGCCACCTCTCCTCCCGCCAAGGGCATTTGCCACATTGCCCCTCGGTGCCTCTGGGGTGCATTCCAGGCTCCGCTGCTCACCTGGACTCCGGCGGCGGCGGGAAGCTCAGCAGGTCCCAGCACGCGGCAGTCGGGTCTCCATCTCCGCCTTCCTCAGGCGCCCCGGCTGCGCGCTTGGCAGTGGCGGTGGACGCGGTGGGTCCGTGTCGTGGAGGCTCGACAGGGGTGTTCGCTGCTGCCGCACTGGCTGCGGGCGCGGGCGCGGGAGGGGCGGGGGCGGGGCAGGAATCTGGGTCGCGGGGAGCGTAGCAGGCCGGGACGCGCCTGGACGGCTGGCGGCGAGGAGGCGACCGCGGGCAGCGGGGGAGCGAGGGCGCGCAGAGGGTTCCCCGGGAGCACGGCGCGGCGCGGGCGGCCACTGAGCATGCCCAGTCCCCGAGCCCGGGGCGCGGGCCTGGCAGCGGCGGGGAGCGCGGGCCCCGCGCAGGAGTCTTTGGGGAAAGGGTTAAATCTGCGGACCGAAGGCTGGGGACAGAGGGCTGGGAGCTGGCTGCAGTGGTCCCGTTTAATTGCTCCTGGGTCGACCCCCCCGCCCCAGAGCCGCGAGGGACCGAAGACGGTGAACCTCAGGAGGCTCGCCAGTGGGATTCCAGAAGAGCCCCGGAATGAGAGGGCAAGGTGTGTTGTTCCTTGCCCTGTCCCCAGAGAACTGTATGAAAAGTCAAAGTTTTTTTTGGCTTAGTCCCAACCTCTGCAGACTTACAGAGTGATTCCCCCAATCCAGTCACCCACCCACCACGTTTCCCGTGCCTGGGGACCTCCCCGCGCGGGTGCCCCGGCAGCCCCGCCTTGGCCAATGCCTTGACCAGTCGGGTTGAGTTCTCAAAGAGCCAGCTCTTTAATTAGGAGTAATTGAGAGATAGTGTCAGCCTTCCCAGGTCACATATCTGCATTTCAACTGGAGCTTCAGAAACAATACTTTAACCCCGGGGTTAATTATAATGGATGAATTATAGACAACGTGGTGTAGGGCTATTTGGGAAACGTTGCTTTACAGTGCAATAGGCCTGGCCCAGAACTCTTGTATTTACACACACACGCACCCAGACTTGTGTCTTTCTTTGGTATTGTATTTTATGTTTGATGAAGAACATTTTCCCTAAACAACAACAACAACAAATACCTTCTTATGTTAGGGCAGGGTCCGGGAAGGAGGGTGAGGTTAGAGGTCAGCCTTGATTTCAGTGCCATTTACCACCCCCGCAGGTTACCTAAGCAAGAGCACCTCTGTTTGCTCTTCTGTAAACCTGACGGTGGTTATCTGTCTCTCTGGGAGGTTGTAAGGATTAAGTGAGGCCATGTCTGCAAAACACCTGTTACACAGTAGATATTCACTGAGTAAAAGTCACTGCACATCCCATCTCCCCTATTCTGTTTTTATGAAAGGTTGAGTTAGTGATAATCCTTAAATGGTGAACATTTATCATGTTCCCTCCTTGCATCAGATAACCTTAAACTCTTGATCTAATTTTTATCATTATTAAAAGCATTGGCCACTATTACCTTTTCTTTCGACTTGACTTACCAATTTCTTTGTACTTCCTTCCTTGAATAAATCTCTTGGAAAAAGCTAGGCCAAGACCATATGTCTGTCCTCTTCCGAGGGAAAAGCTTTTCAGGAGAGATTCTCTATGGGCAATTTTATCCACATGACAAAACAATTTCACTCCATAGTCTTTCAAAAGCAATTTAATTTACACACATTCCCCTGTGGTTCTTGTTTCACAACTATTACAAAAGTAAGGTATGTTGGCATGGAAGGAAACTTACAGTCCACTAATACCATCCACATTTTAAAGTATCAACGCTCAAAAAATAAACTTTTCACTATCTGCTAAACATACTATGCCCTTCATATACATTGCCTTTGTTTATGGTGTTATACCCTTTCTGGAATACTGCTCTCTTTCCATTGTCCCTCACAAAGTCCTACCACTCTCCAAGCTCAAATGCCACCTTTTTTCTGAAGGTGTCCCCAAACCCCAAGGCAGAATTCATGTTCTGCTGCCATAACACTAGTGCATACTGCTGTCACAGCACTTATCACAATCCATTACTATTGTGTAAGCAATATAAAACAATTTACTGAGCAACTATTATGTACAACAGGTACTGTTCGAGGTATTGGGAAACCACAAGGAACAAGGCAGGCAAAGTTCCTGCCCTCATGAACTTAGAACCTAGTTTGAGGAAGATAGACAATAAACACCTAAACAATAAATAATCACCAAGGACACAAGTCAGGTATTTCTTTTTGGCCTTTGTGTTATTCACCAAGTTAATCTAGATGGTTCTGATTCATCCTTCCAAAAACATCAATAAAAATATTAATAGTGGTCCTAGGACAACAACACTACATGGCCTTGGGTCTCTGCCAGTTGGTTGCTGAGCCAAGGGTTTTAATCCTTTAATTTCACTCCCTCAGCTCATTTGATTCCTCCAAGTAGGTACCTGCAGTCCATATGATGAATGTAAGCTGATGGAAGAAGGCTCTAGAGTTTATTCCACACACCAAATTATAACCTTTCTTTAACCTCAAGGAATAGCATTTCTCCAATGGCCAGATTGAATCTGGACTCTCAGGTCTCCTGCATTCCAAATATCTCTTCCAGAATCATGTACCACTCTTAAACTCTCACACTTTTTACCACCTTTGACTTTTATTTATGTCAATAGTTACTCTGTTGTATATCATTTGATTGTTTGCATCAACCTACTGTCTGACTAGCTTAAACTTTTCTCTCTATTTCTCTTATTGCCCAAGTGTGAGACAGACTTGGCACCACTTAGAACCTGCTCTTCCAAAGCATATTTGTACATATGTATTCCATAGCAATTAGTGACAACCTTGTTGCTGTTTAATGTTTAAGTCCAGGGCAGGTTGTCATTCATTTTATATTACAGAACTTAGCAACAACCAGTAAGCAATAGATTCACAATAAAAGATTGTGAAATGAATGAATGAATGAATGAATGAATATAGGTTCTCAACCCTTCTTGCTTTCTCAGAACCATAGTTATTTTCTAATTGGTCTTTTTACGAATCCTAGGATTTTCTCAGTTTTGTCTTTTCCTAGTCTGCTAATTTCCCTCCAGCTACATATCCACAGATTTCTACATGTCAGGGCCCACTGTGGAAGAAAATTGTAGCCATAATTCATTACAAATTTGTGTGTTCAGCTGAGCCACAGTGTATCATCTATAAGTCAGTGCCATTATTGCTTTCTCCAGTCCACAGCAACTATCTTCATTTTTTTCTCTTTTCCATCTCTCCCACCCACTGTGCTTTTAACAATGTACATCTGGCTCTCACCACTACACCAGAGAAGAGAACATCAAGTATCATCAGATTAGGAATTAGCTCATTATTATAAATATAGCCTTTTTCTTAAATACTTTTGAATTTTATTGTTGTTCAGGTACAGTTTTCTGCCTTTTTTCCCCACCCCTCCCCACCACCCTAGCCTTCCCCACCTTCCTCCCCTGTTTCCAACCCCCCCCCCCGCCCCGTTTTTGTCCCTGTGTCCTTTAGACTTTTTCCTGTAAACCCTTCAGCCTTTTCCCCCATTATCCCCTCCCACCTCCCCCCTGGTCACTGTGAGTCTGTTCTCAATTTCAGTGTCTTTGGTTATATTTTGCTTGCTTGTTTGTTTTGTTGATTAGGTTCCACTTAAAGGTGAGATCATATGGTGTTTGTCTTTCACCTCCTGGCTTATTTCACTTAGCATAATGCTCTCCAGTTTCATCTATGCTGTTGTGAAGGGTAGGAGCTCCTTCTTTCTTTCTGCTGTGTAGAATTCCACTGTGTAAATGTACCATAGTTTTTTTGATCCATTCATTTACTGATGGGCACTTGGGTTGCTTCCAGCACTTGGCTATTGTAAATTGTGCTGCTATGAACATCGGGGTGCACAGGTTCTTTTGGATTGGTGTTTCAGGGTTCTCAGGATACATTTTAATTAGAAGCCTGTGACTAATATATCTTTGGATTAATCCAGGAAGTCCTCATAGGCTTTCAAACTGGCAGGGATCCTGTTTGGAACTAATATTTTGGGAGCAATGAGTTGTTTGTATGAAGGAAATAAAGTTTTTTGTGACATTGCTAGAGCAATATTGCATAATGTTAAAGCATCAACCTATAAGTTAAGGGATCTGGTCTTAACCGCTTTTAGTTTTATATCTAAAGTAGAGACAATAATAGAAACATTTACCTGATACTGTTGCTGGCTATATTAAATTAGTAATGATTTGTAAAATGTTTAGCATAGTGCCTGGCCCATAGTGCTTATGTTAGCCATGAATCCATCTGCATATTTTTGGATAAAAAATATGTTTAAGAGAATAGTATGAGATCAACAGATGTGGTAGTTAAGAAATTGAGCTCACCTGATGTAGCATTTAGAAGTAATGAGTGGAGAACCCATGGGGGAGGAAGGTGTATCTCTAAATTCTGCCCCAGTTATAGCAGTGGAGCTGAGGAGGAGGGAAAGACCTAGGAGATGCTGTACTCTACCTACCTGGACTCCTCATGTCCCATTACAAGTGACACAGGGTTTGAGTCTTTTCCAGACACGTGGATGTGTTGTTTTGCTGAAGAGATCTCTCATTGAACATCATCCCTAGGAATGTACTTGAATAAAAACTTCCCCACCCAGAGGTTTCTTTCTTTTGCAAGGTTAGATTGAGCAACGAGCAGGTAGGAATTTCCTGCCTAGATCATTTTGTGGGTGAGGTAGAAGTCATGGCCCATTTATTTATTTTTAATCTGGTCTTAGGTGTCTGGCTTGAAGAATTGGTAGTAAGAGATGTATGTATTATAGGAATTGGCCATATAATGAAATTGGAAAGGAAACCTCAGGGCCTAAAAAGTATATTAGGCCTTGTCTCATTTTACTTAATTGTTGTATAAAGTTTAAAAATTAATATACAAGGCCACTCTGTTTCCAATAGGATGAATTTTATAGGCCTACAGAGTTCTTTGTACAAAACTGAAGTGGTGGTTGGGTCCAATATGTCTATTAATATCTATGTTGATGTAATTATGTCTGGATTACCTGAGAGTTAATCATCATGCTGGAACAAAACCAAAACAAATAAACTAAGACTCAGACATGCAGCTGAGGCATAATCTAAAAATGTGACCTGGAGAGGGCTTTCTAGTGACTTAGACTGGTCCAAGATGCAATTCATTTAATAATCATTTATTGAGAAAC